GATTAAAGTTGTACAAATTGTACCATTTGCTTAAATCTTTTTCAACTTCGCTGCTTAGGTTTTGATTGAGGACAGCATAAAAGTATGGTTTTATAAAACCTATTATTTTTTAAGAAAATAAAAAATTGGTTGAGTAAAAACAGTCTGAAATATTTTTTTTTGTTAAAACTAGTTTTTGTGAGAAGCCGATTTAAAACTAAATTGATCTACATATAAATCGGTTTTAAAAAAATAAATCGGTTTTAATGAAACAGTTTTAAGATCCAAACTAAATTATATATATGGTTCAATTTATTTTGATTATTGATCCATGCACACCCCTATTCTTCCACTACTGTAAAAAGTCACAATGGTCTCTAACATTCAGAGATGTATCTCTGTACGCACATTTTCCTTAGACATTCCTCATAGCAAATTGATGATGATTCCTATTATACCGAAATTTAATCTGGAGATGCATCTCCGTATTCATAAAAGGTTAATCTGGAGATGCATCTCTGTAAACACCATTAAATCAAAATTTAGTGGGTGGTCCGGAGATGCATCTCCGTAAACACCATTAAATCAAAATTTAGTGGATGATCCAGAGATGCATCTCCTGACGCTTTTTTTTAATATACTCGTGTCAGACCCTTCCCTCTTCCTCCATCATTTTTAAAAGTACTAAAAAAGAACATTTAAGCTCTCACATCTATTTAAGCTACCATTGGAGATCTTTCTCATCCATTCAAACTTCTCTTTCTCATCCACTTGATTCAGTTGGTTTTCAAAATTATTTCTTTTTGTGTTTTGAATGATAGTAAGTTATTTAAGCTACATAAGTTGTTTATGCTACATTAGATAGTAGTGGAATCGAAATAGATAGGCTAAATGGACATGCATTGAAATTTGTTGGGAGGGTTTAGGTGGCAATGACGTTTTTGTGTTTCTGTCATAGCTGAGAAAATCGCAAGATTATCCGGAGATGCATCTCCGAATTTTCTATAAATTGTTTTCAGAGATGTATCTCTGAATTTGTGTTCGGCTGAATTTTGGTTGAATTTGTAATGTGACATTTTGGTTTTAACACAGATGCAATGGCTGAAAACAACCATGGTAAAATTAGGCTCGGCCGTATGTCCCAAACTACGTTTGTACAAAGTGAGAGAGCCGCAGTTAGGACCACAAGGCCGTGAGTTGATGATAACTTGTTTGATGGTTTGCAACACTGAGGTTCACAACCATATGGTTCTACTTCTCGTAATCGACTGTCTTAGGCTTCTACTTCATTGGGTCACGAGTCTCCAAATGATAAAGTAACACTTGAAGCCCTTGAAGTGCAAGAGGAACCCGATGTTGATGCCCTTGTAGAGATTTATCCATGAGGCCCATTGAACACCTCATTACTTCATCTATATGCAGCTAGGCATGTCAGTGAAGGAGAGATATATTTATTTACTTTTACATTACATGTTTTAAACCAATTAAATTGCAACTTATGGTGATTTTTTTTCACAAGAGTGTCAGTATTTGAAACCTGTAAACCACAGTCAGAAGATATTAGAGTTGGAATAGTCCACTACCGGTTGGTTAAGGGATGTTATTCGTTATTCTGGTTTTACCAATTTATGTGTTGTTATGTACATGACTATAAACCACGACATGCAAGCGACATTTGCAAAGAGATGGCATTCAAAGACGTTATTTTTCCACCTTTATATTGGTAAGATGATCATCACCCTAGATGACGTCTCATGTATCCTGCATCTTTCCATCGGAAAAAAATTACTAGACCACTGAAGGATCGGTCGAGAGAAAGTCGTCGAGATGATGGTTATCTATTTAGGGGTTGGCTCAACTAAGGCCTCAAATGAGATAGGTTCTCATGCTAGATTTATTTTGTTTGGAATAGCTTTACAAAGACCACTTATAGTGGACTGAGGAAGTCGAAGGTGATGATATATAGGTTGAGTACCATCGAAATTGAGCATTGAGATTTACCTTTTGTTCTTGGTTGGCAGATCTATTTTTGTAGACAAAAGTATAACCTACGTCGATGTGATCTACCTTCAGTACTTCATCGACTTGATGACAATTCACGAGTACAACTAGGGGTCATCTGTTTGGTCTACATGTACTTGAAGTTGGGTGAGAGTTGTCTTTCAAAGACAAAACAAATGACATGGAGTTGCACGCTGCTTCTGATAATTTATAGTTACTAATATTTTTATTATTTATTTGTTACACTTGTTATTAATATTGTATCTAGACCAATTGCAAAGATGGATAATCTCCCACTTCCCTCCATCATCGGTGGAAAGTTGTGTTTGCCTACACTGAGGATTAGGAATGTGTTGTCGCATTTACCCCGTACAGGAGGAATAATGTGATCGAGTCATTCAAAGTGTATCTTGACCATCATGTATCAGATAACATTTTCTTCTGTCCATACGGGGGTCACTGCAAGACGCGTTTGTTAGACGTCATTTCCTTACACTCTGGTTGACAGGCATGTGGATCGTCTCTTATGTATCCTTATCTTTCCGAGTGAGTGATGCGCCAATTTGACTATTTACAAATTATTATGAGACCTCCCAAAGAGTTCGCTTCTCCCATCATCCGCCGTAGAGATTTTGATACAATATTGGGGGAATTTCAAGAGTCACTTAGTATCAGAGGAATATCCAGAGTATCATCCTTTTTACAATAGACTTATGTTGTCGGCTACATGACATGGTTCAATAGAGTGTCACACCCTATCATGACATCATATATTTTTAGAAGACCACATAGACCAACTAATCAAGAAGTACTTAAGATTAGGAATAACCACACTGATGAGGTGTCGGCGGTATGTCGATGTATTGTGTAGATGTATAAATTTGATATATTTAAAATGTGTCTGAAAATGTATTTTTGAACTCTATAAACTTTTTTTTTATTTTTCACAAGAGTGAAAGAGCATCCCTTAGAGTAGGAGTAACAACCCCAAAATAAAAACCCTAAACAAATTCCTCCTTATATTCTAAAAATCCAATTTGTTCAACCAATAGATTTGAATTGTAAGGTATATTTGAATTGACGGTGGACAAAATTAATTCTAATAAAATTGAGTTTGGTAGAATTAATTTTAATTGAATTAAATTTAACATAATTAATTTATATTCAGATACATTTATGTAAAAGTGAGTTTAACAAAAAAAATTAACGTAAAAATTACTTAGAATCAATTCTGAAAGCGGAAGTTACAAATTTTAACTTTAAATAGAATCAATTCTAAAGACAGAATCAACTTTAGAGACAGAATCAATTTTGCATACACGTAATCATGCTTCCAAATCACACAACCAGAATTGTAAATCATTCCTCTTAAGTGGTAGTATCGAAGGTTTAATTAATATAGCTTGCTAGTGTGAAATAGAATTTTTTTTTTGTTCGCACTAGACCATGGTGGAATGTTTCCTTCTATTGTTTTTACTACTAGAATTCGGTGCATGATATTGTTCATGAAACCAATTGGTTATTGTTGGTAATATTGTAACTTAACAGACCAATTTGTTATAAATATTTTATTTGAAGGACAATATGTAATAACTGTTTGTTTGTGCATCTAAACATATAAAAGTGAGGTTGGTGCAAATTCTTTACAATTCACTATTGCCCCCACTATTATCTATCGCTGACACCCCCCTTCTTTCTATTTGTTGCTTTACCATTGTCTATAGTTGTCGCTCCCTTCATCGAGATAGCAAATGCTCCTTTGTACTGCATATTGTGCCCCCTCGAGTTCAAGATCCTTTGTTGTCAAATCTCTTCAATTTTGATAACTCGTTTGTGACTAGAATAGGAAACAGTCAGGCAGTGTCTGTTAAGATCAAATTGCAGTGCTCTGCTATAATATTTTAGTATTGCATTGCATGTATACTTTGATTTCCAACATCTATAAACAATGCTTTTACTCCACTATACTTTTCCCCGATGCAGGTAGCAATTATTTGCTATTATTGTAGCTTTTTTTAAAAAGAACTGACTACACATCTGGTCCAAACCAACAGATTATTCATTGGATCAGTTTGATTTGGGCTTCAAAAAAATTTGCACAGACCAAAAAAATGTTTAATTTTTATTGGTTTGCTCCTAAGATCGAATCAAACCTATGCAAGTAACAAATGACAAGTATTGGCAGCAGTGGTAAGTGAAACAAGAAGAACAATAACCAGGAAACATGCAAGTAACAAATGACAAGGATTGGCAGCGGTGGCAAGTGAAACAAGAACAGTAATCAGGCAACTGAAGTCTCTTGCAATTTGTCTAGGACACAGTAAATGGTTTTAAGTCAAACAGCTAATAGAATACATGTTGATGATATACACAGATATGTCTGTATGGTATTGTAGTACAAATTTAGCATAACTCATCTGACTAAAGTGAAAAGCATCGTGTGACTAGAGCTTGAGAAATTCCAGTTGAATCTCAGCAATAAAATTCCAGCAGTTAGAATGCAGACTTGCCAAGCTCTATTACAGAGCAACTCCTTGAGCTCTTTAAGGAGCTGTTTCAAAAACAAGAAACATTTTGTACTTATTATTTAAACGGTAGCCTGAACAAAAGCTTCATTTACAAGTACCTAGCTAAAAGTAAATAATGTATGAAAAATAAAATAAAAATCATTATAATTATAATATAATTCACATGACAAGAAGCAAGACCAAACTAACAGACAAACCAACTTCAATGATGGAATGTTGAGTATATATTACAATACAGAGACTGATTTCACATTATTCATTTACCCAATTTTAATAAATGAAAATTATGAACTTCTACATAAGTAGAAAATAATGCCCAGACAAGCTACAAGAACAACTGTATTCCATAGGATGGGTCAAGCAAAGCATACCTTCATCCAAGTCAAGAGCAAATTTATTCAGCTCTGGATAAGTCCTCAAGTGAATTCTCATAATCATCAGGGGCGATGTGTGTGTTCTGTGTGCTCTAGAAGCTCTTAACTGAAATCACAAATGTCTGCAAGGGACGTGGAAGATGCAATAAGCATCCTTGCAGACCAAGAATGGTGGAAAGGATCAATAATGGTCTTACAGAAATATACAAATCCATTCCAGTCAAACTCGGCCCATATGCCTGCACTGAAATCAGCTAACATAAATTTTTTAAGCTGCAGCAGCCCATCAGCTTACTTCATATGTCCCGGGCTGATCAGTTGCAGGCACAGCCCATGCCCTTTACCAGGGCCAGGCCAGTCCAAAATTTGTATCAGGTGGTGGTTGATGAGCCTGGAGTATTAAAAACAACAAAGAATACAATTAAATACAAAGAAAAAGTAAAAGACTTCAAAATATGTTTGCTCACTTGGAAAACTCAACTATTTTTGTGGAAAGATGCATGCATAATATCACACCATGATACAGCAAACAACCATTATCTTGAAACATATGGCATTAGGGCATAGTCAAAGAGGTCAGAATTAGTAAATTTACAAATCAGATAAAAAACCTGCTATCGTCAAAGAAGGGAATGCACAACACACTTTCAAGACTATACACCCATGAATCACTAAGAATAAACTAACTAAGGCTTCAAGATAAAATGAAATACCAAATGAGGAGCCAATTGTTAATGTTAAGTACCTGTCTTCTTCCACATATTCAAAATAAAATAGATATTTGCATTAAAGTATCAACCAAAGTCTATTTCAAAAGTAGTTTCAGCAAGGATGAGTTTGCATGTATCAAAAAATTGGAACAGACACATTCAAAGCCAGGGAAACACATTATAATAGAGATAATATGCTTGTCTTGTTTCCCCTTTTTTGTGTGAATCCCATGTACACGTATTTATGTACATTGTGTGCAGCAATTTTATATCTATACTCTATTTTTTTTCATACTTAAATCCAACTTCTCAATTAGGTTTTTAACATTCAAAATCAAGAAATTATGTAAAAAAAGTCTTAGTCCACAACAAGGGTCAAATGATACGAGATCAAAGCTATGATCTTTGGAGGTTTATATAACTGAAATTTAGAGTAGTACTTCAGAGCTGCTTTCATCCAGTTCAAGTATGCAGTTTAAAAATATAAGTGCTATATAAAATTCACTCACATGGAAAGCTAAGCATCTTGCATTGTTAAATTATTATTACCTTTGTCCCTAAATATAAGACCCCTTGAGAAAACACAAGAATTAAGAAAATTGGTTGATATTAAATTTGTTGACATTTGATATTATTTTACAAACTTATCCTTCCAAGAGACAAATAATTAATGTTTGCATAGTGTTTATTACATATCGGATAAAAAGATATAACATAATTAGGGGTATGTTGGTAAAAAAATAATTAATGTAGTTAAAAATTCAAAGAAAAGGGACTGATAAACTCAAGAGGATCCTATATTTGAGGACGAAAGTAATATATAAGAGTATATGTGATTTGACCATTAAATTGGACATTTAGATGCTGTAATACCTGTAGAAATGGTTGATGAAGAGGTTCATGGGGAATAAAGGGCATTCCATGACAGTGGCAAGAATACTGAGACGAATGCAAATACAAAGCTGGTGCAGAGCATGTACCTACTTGTCTAGGATTAAATGGTAACATGGCCTCTGGATATCCATATCCTATTCCAGCTGGTAATGGTGGAGCCCATGGCCCAGGTATGTGCTGGAAAAGAGGTTGAGGGTGATGTTCAGTAAAAAGCTGCAGTTCATGAGTGGATCCATGTGGAAAATCAGGGCGGTAATTTGATACGGCTGTATACATCGGCTGCATGGTATATCCTCCATTGAACCCAAATCCAGGGTCAAATCGTTGAACATACCTGTCATGCAAAAATCAGACAAATCCATAAACCATACACAGCATGTATTCATCTTTATATTTGTTGAACTCACGATAAATGAGGGAACATAGAAATATTAACATGTCAATAAATATTGCCTAAATAAATCACAAGAGCATTATTCAATGAAATTGCATTTCATTCTGATACATAGACCCAATAGCATACCAAATTGACATGCCCTTAACACATCTAAAGCTTTAGATCCTTGAACATCTATTATGCAACATAAAAATCCAAAATTTACTTCAAAATGAACTTGGGAATTATGATATAATGACCAACAGTGGGAAATCCAAAAACAAGTCTAATAATTAAGCATGGCCGAATGGTAACACTAACATGTTTCAAGCCTTTTCTAAAAGAAAAATACATCATATTTCAAACACAATAATACTAGGTACCATGACAGTTCAGGCAGTGTTTTTTTTATATATGTCACTTCTGTTGAAATTCATTAAAGTGTTTGAACAAGTAATGGCTGTTGATGTTAAAATTTGATAATGTTTAATCAAGAAGGAAGTGAAAATGATGAAGAAAACCTTCATGCATAATCCTAGCAGGTTAGCTAGTAAGTCCTAAGACAGATGAATTAACACCAAAAATACCCAAATATAGTAGAATAGTAGACACCCTCCAAAACTCAAAACTCATGAACATGATAAATTAAAATAGGAACAAATGTACTCCCTCCGTTCCTTTTTAATTGTCACTTTTGTGAAAATTTTATGTTTCTTTTTAATTGTCACTTTTAAATTTCAAAGTAGTGTTAGTGATAGTTTCGTCAAAATTATCCCTAATCATTTATTATAGAGAGAGAAAAAATAAGTTAAAGTAATAAAAAATTAAGGGTATTATAGGTAAAAGAAAAATTATTGCTTAAAAAGTAACAACAATCATTAGCTTTATTGGTATGTGTAAAAAATCAAAAAGTGACAATTAAAAAGGAACGGAGGGAGTATTATAATATAAAAACTATCTCAAACATCATGAACATCTATAACTATCTATAAAGGGGATATAGGTTTTTGGGCTGGCCTATTTTCTTTCCTTATTTACCCTTAACTTCTCTCTTTCATTCGGTTTCCATTTGCTCTGTTCTAGCAGTTACAAAATAAACGGTTACTTTCTCTTCTAAATATAAGGTTTACAAAAACATATCTGACAGTTTATTTTTTCCATTCCAATAAAGAACAACAATTCCTTTTTCTTTGAGTAGTCGGTAAATAATGACCAGAAAGCTCATGCTTTAACTTGGTCAATCTATATTATGTGTTTTCATTTGTTAAGCATTTGTATTGTGAATGGTTTTGCTCAAATTGTTTATGTTTTTCAGAAAAAGTTCGTGTTATGGATTGAGCAAAACTTAGTGTTAGAAACTAACATGAAATGAAGAAATATGGTGCATTGGTTAATGAGGACACAGAAAAATGACTCTTTTGTATGTTCTAAACTTACTCTAGGATAATTGCACATTTTGTCCAAAAATTAAAAGAGAGGCTATGTAACAGTATATATAACCATATTTGATGCAGGAAACTATAATAGTCAAAGTTTTAGAAGGAGAGAAATAAATTTAGGAAGGAAAAAATGGTGCATGAACATCTGAAGCAAGCCCTAAACACCGGCGAAATCTGTACTCTACGGTGATGATACCATACACAATCTATTCGTTAAATTTGTTAATCTTTTTAATGTGTATATTATATTATCTGCTAATCTCAAATTTTTATTAGTAAATAGAATAGAGTATAAGAAACCAATCGACAACAGATAAACAAGAAAATAACATTACTATTTTATCATATTTATGTTTGGCTATTGCAGAACTTTTTTTAACTATTATTTGTGGAGTGGTCGATGTAAATTTGATGGGCATGTCCTTATATGTTACTACTTTACAATGTATTTTTGTTTGACAGAATTTTATCTAATTAGAAGATTGTGATCAATTTTTGAAATTATTTTAGTGAAAATTCAAAAAGGCAGTTGAAGCCATTATTACAAGAACTAAGGAAAATGTCAAGACTGGAGATGTTAATTTGTATGAGGAAGAAAGAAATGAAAAACAGCCGAAAGAGTTGATGCCTGGTAAAAAATTGAAGTCTTATCAACTGAATAGTATTGTTGCTGATCAAATGGATATTCAGAATACAATTCAAACTACTGAGTTTCTTTCTCATCTTAAATATAAAAAAATCGAATATACACATGATAACAGCTCCTCTATCAACTCTCTCTCTCTCTATATCAATTAATCTATTTCATATATGTTTATTTAGGTAATTAAATTAATTGTCACATTTATTAATTATTTAAATTACTATACATTTATTAAATATTTATATGTATATCTTTCTTTTGAATGTGTGCATTAGAAAAGGAATAGACAACCATGAAAATGTATATCACAAAGTTAAAATATTCGCTTATATTTTTAAGTCTGTGTATATTTAAAAAGCGGACAAACGGGCACAGAGTGCCCGTTTGGACTCTAGTGATAAATAAAAATAATATCAAAGCCATCTCTTAACTCCTACAATGGCAGTATTAAAGTTACGTCTGAGAGCTCAAGTCCTTTATTTTGAGAAAGGTGGGGAAAAAACTACAACTTCAACATACTACAAGGCTAAATGAAACGCAACAGGCATGCATACCTTTCATAGCTCCTGTCGTAATCAGGATCCTTGCGGTCAACTTCACGGTCCCGATATATCGCCACCCTACTACTCTGTATAGGCCTATCAACTGATTCCTTCTCTGCCCTATTTCTAGCCCTAATGTTAGTTGTGGAAGACTCAACCAACACCCTACTGGAACTGACATCTGGCAACGGAGCAGGTTTATCTTCAACCCTAGAAAAATCCAAGGAACAAAGTAAAGAGTCATCCTGCTTCCTTGACTCGCAACCTGACTTCTCACCCATAGTACTACCACCATTATCACTTGAACTAAAGATCCTAGCCCGAGCCCTACTATACTCCTCCGTCCTCTCTTCCACACTTTTAGAGTTCCGATTCTTAACTGAGTTTGAATCGGTATCACTAAGAACTAGAGACTGCTTCTGTGGTCTCTGTTTAATAGCAACCTTCTTGAGAGCATTATCTTCTGCTGCTAACTTTACAGGAATATCTGCAAGACGAACAAGAGGGGGCTTATATCCAAAAGTCTTGTGGACAATAATTATCGACCCAGAACCATCTGGTAAACTATCATCCACTAAAACCATTGACTGCAACGCGTAATGCTGAGCCACCCGATGTGCAGCTAACCGCAAATACGAAGTCGGTAGTTTCCGAAATTCAAGCTGCTGTTGATTCGAATCATGAATGAACTTCACAACGTCCTGCTCCATCCGCAAAACTGTAAATTATATCAGAAATCTATATCAGTATTGTAAACCATAAACCTAATTTCTACAAGAACTTCAAATTTTCTAGCACTGAATAGGAAATGTAGAAAACTCACTTGAAAGGCGCTCGCGGGGGTTCTGAACCGCGTCAAGAAGGAACTGGTCAACTTGATTGACGACATCATCGAAGACGTTGGTGTTACCGTCACTGGACGACGGAGGAGCATCGTCGGCGGGTTCATCGGAAGAGTGGTCCAATTTGAGGCGGGTTATGGAGTCGTTCAAATCGGCGATTACTAATGTCGGCGAGGCTTCTGAATCTTCAGCAGAAGCCATGGCGAGAAATTGCGAGTGAAGAAATGGAATCTTCTATGGTTAGAGAATCGAACGATTCATTTGAGGAGATTTCATGAGATACGGTTAGGTTAAAATTTACATTTTTGGAATTTATGAGAGTGAAGGGGTTCCGCAAAAAATATCTCCTCTACCACGTGTCCTTTCCTAATACATCATTCTAACTCACTACACCGCTGTTAAAAAGTACTTAAAACTATTGTCTACTAATCGAATACATGAAATGATAAACGCAATTATTTTTAAAATATAATAAAAATAAAATTATTGTTTATAATTTTTCTAATATATAAAAATATTTAAATAAATAATATATTTTTTATATAAATATTATTTTTATTTTAGAATTATTATAAAAAATATTTAAATCAATAACAAAGTTGTTATATTAATATTGAATATTTTAATCTATAATTTCATATTTCCGTTAATATTTAATAATTTAATACGTGGATCGCAAAATTATCATCAGTTTATTATAGAAATTCAAACAAATTAAAAAATATAAAAAAAGTTATTAGAAAAAATAAAAAATGGTATAGAAGATCATTGTATAAGTTTTTAAAAATAATCATTGTTTTTAAAATGTAATAAAAATATAAATATATAAAATAAAATTATTTTACCAAAATAATTTATTATTTTAAAAAGAAATACATATATTTATAATAAAAATAAAATTATTTTATCAAAATAATTTATTATTTTAAAAAAAAGTACGTATATTTATAATAAAAACAAAATTGTTCTACATCAATAATATGTATTTCAATTTTCCATTTTTTATCTTAAAAAGTATTGTATATTCAATAAAAAATAATTTCAAAATAAAAATATTAAAAATATAAATAATTTAAAATAATTAATTTTTCTCGTGTTTGGATTCATATTTTATTTTATGTAATTGTACAAAAAATATAATAATTTTTGGATTCGCACGAATATTAGCATGGTTACCCCTGCGTTCATATGGCACTGGTGTATATTGATATGGTATGCATGTTTCTTAATTGTATAAATAAATATTAGTAACATAAATAAACACATTTTGTCCGTGTTTCGATTATTACATTATTATAAATATATACTTTTATTTTATTTAATTGAACAAAAATATAATTTCTCGTGCGTTTGGACGAATTCTGATCTAGATATTTGTGTATTCGTACGAGTATTCTTGTATTACGCGCATTTGTTTTTAAAATATAATAAGAATGAAAAAACATATAGACAAAATAATTTAACTAAGAAATTTTATTATTTTTAAAACAAAAATATATTTTTATTTATATTTAGAACATAAATATAATTTTTCTATATATACAAATTTTAGATGAATCTTATATTTTCTCGTACGTAAATATTAATTTTATTTTAACAATGTACTTTCATATAAGTTTTTGGATCACTAATACACCTTTTCTCATATAAATATTTTATTATATTATTAATGACAAATGAATATCATTATGATAAATTTAAGTAAACTAATATTTACACGAGTTAAAGTTTTTCTAAATAAAAAACAAATATTTTAGAACTACTTATAATTTATAAATAAAGTTATAGTAAAATTATAATTTATTATAAAATGTATGTTATCAATAGTATGCATAAAAAAAATTCTTTACATAATAGAGTATTTATTGTTAATAAATATATTTGAATTATTAAAAGATTCAATTTATTTAACTATAAAATAATTTTTTAATTTCTAATTTATGATGTTAATTTAAAAGAATTAGAATTTGTTAAAAATTTTGTAAGTTTTAAAAAAAAGCATCCAGCCTTTAAATAGAAATACCAAAAAATATAACAAAATTAAATAATAAAGGGAATTATTAAGATACTAATAAATTTTTATCTCATTTCAAATACTCTATAAATAAAATGCACATGAAAAATAAAACGCGGGTTCTGAATAAATTAAGTAATATTTAAATATTGAATACAAAATATTTTTAAAAAAAATGTGATCAACAGATAGTCATCAATAAAAAAGAAATATACATTAATAGTTGTTTTATTATAAAAAAATTACAACTTTTTTAGTAAAAAAAAAATCAGTAAATTTGTGTCAATTTGACATAAATTTGTGTTCATAATTGTAATAATAATTGTATTCTTTATACCATAATTGTACAATTATGGTATGATCGGTATAAAATAATATTACATTTTTTCATACACATAATTTAATATTATTAAATATATTCTATTAATATGTGTTAATATTAATTATTTTTGTTGATGCATCTTATTTTTTAAATTTTTATAGTTAAAAAATCAAATATTTATTTCATTTTATCATAATTTAATGTTACTAAATTATAAATTGAAATTAAAATTAATTATTTAATATAATTAATTAAAATCAGTTGAATAATTTAATAATTTTATTAAATTGGAAACAATATTAAATAACAAGATTAAATAAAAAGAATTATTAAGATAGTAATAAATTTTTATCTCATTTCAAATACTCTAAATAAAATGCACATAAAAAAATAAAAATGTGAGTTCTGAATAAATTAAATAACATTTAAATATTGAATACAAAACATTTTTAAAAAAAGTAATTAATAATAGTTATCAATAGAAAAGAAAATATGCATTAATAGTTGTTTTACTATAAAAAAATCACAATTTTATCAACAAAAAATATTAAATAGAAATAGTACATTTCCATGAAATAAAAATGAGAAGTGAATAATAATGTGAGCAAATAGAATAAAAATTTAAAGCTATAAATCGAGCAAATCAAAAGTTCAACATTATCCCAACTTTCCTTCAAATTGAATAAATCATCATAACTCATTTTTATGGAGATCATCTTGATAATGGCACTTAAATCCACTTTATTAGTTTTTATTATTCATTTATTTTGTTTCCATCTAAGAGTAACACAAAGCTTATAAAATGAAATATGTTATATTCAATATTAAATAGGTTATTATAACATGAATGAATGGAATCAACTCACTACATAATATAGAACATGAATGACAATAAAATTCTGAAATTTTAAGTTACATAATAATTGTCTAATAACAACTGCTTCAAGGAAAGCTTATAAAATTAAAAGTTAAAGTTAAAGGAAACATATAAATAGTCCTAATTTGATATCTCTAGATTATATAGTGTTCAAGTAACAACACTTTTAAGACAAACTATAAGCATATATCAAGAATATTAAATTTGTTAAAATTAATAAAAATCTGTGGTGGAATAGTATCAAAAGTTAGAAGCAGTCATTTGCAATGTCCCCTGGTGTTAACTTCCTCTTGAGTCCTTTGCATGAGCAATTCCTCCTTCAAATCAATTGGGACTTCGGAGTGAAATATCAACTAAAAAATTCATTCCTTTTTAGAAAAATATACATTGATTTGTCATATAAGCAAATACATTGAATTCTTCAACAATCACAATGTATATGTCAAGAAATTATTGCAATTATGACCCAACATAAAAATTATATCTTTCCTTCATCTCCTGCAGGTCCTGATTCTTCTTATTATAATGATTTTCTATGTAATGATTCACCGCTTCAACCCTCTGTTGAGTTGCATTTGAGGGCGGATAATAATTTGTTTTGATAACCTTGTAGCTCCAAAATGGATAAAATTATTTGTTAGATTCCATCTGCACATCAACTCCTCAGCTGCTAAACTTGCAAAGAGAAGGGATGTTCTTCACTAAAGAAAAAACACAGATATCAAGTTAACTCATGTTGAAATTAGACTTCTTTGGGATTATGAACTGAACGGCCAAATCTGTTTAACCTGAATCACCCTTCTTTAATAAAAATTCACCATCCCTTGAACAAAATTCTCCCAGATATGCAAGACATTTTTTTAAGAATAGTTATAACATGGAAAGAAAGTGATAATCGCAAACCACGGTTGGGACCTCATTCTTACTTTCAGCTTTTTACTCTTAGAAGACTATTTGGCTTGCTCAAAGACACGGAGATCAGGAATCATGTCACTGCCAAAGGAGGTTTGAAATTTTGCAAGACCAACTTCAAGTAGTGCAACGGTGCCATTTGTTTTCAATTCCCATAAGGATCCCAAGAATGTTCCAGTTCTATCAACGGTTTCTATCTCAATCTGAAAAAATTAAATAAAATAAACAACGCTCGGACTCAAGAATCTTAAGCTCAGAAAGCAACTAAATTACCTCAACAACTCTTCACATTATCCTCCGCCTCATCAGTGCAATTACTTCATCAAAATATGGCTCTTCACAACCAGGACATCGGACACCAGAGAATGCAAAAGCACTACTACAAGTTTCTTTGGGAATCAACAGTTTGAAATGGTGGCCACTGAGAACATATTCCACTACAGCAGGAACTATTCTACTTCTATATAGGAAAGACATGAAGTCTTTGGCTTTCTTGGCTGATGCTTAATAATATGAATCAAAAAGAAACAGTTAGACTTGAGTTACACTATCTAAGCTTCAAAGTAAAAACAAAATCCAGTATAACCAAAATTTTGTAAACTATGGTCAAGTCAGTTATATGCATCACTGGAGGATCCTTGGAAGAATGGATCCCTTTCCTTCCATAAATGGCATCAAGAAGAGCATCATAAAAGTTATATCTCTCTTCAAAGTCACAATGTCTAATGACAGTGCCAAAGCCACGACGAAGACTGATCCAAAATCCATTACTCTATCACCAACTCCGAATGGAGCTCCATTTGGATCAACAAGACCAAACTTTCTAGAATATTCCATTTGTACATTTTTGAATATGGAGCTCCATTTTCATCAATAGGACCAACCTTTCTAGAGGCGTGTTCTCAAGAATTCCTTTGCTTCACGTGCATATGGAGTTGGTTTTTCATCTCTGCGAGGATTGCCCATTTTTGGACATCTAATACTTGAAAGGTTAACTCGCCTCTCAGCTTATGGGCTGCCATATAGAATTGAATCATCAACAACAATGATACAATATCCACTCACAACCTCAACCATCTGAAAAATTTAATTAAGAAATATTCACCGATTGTTCATTCCCCAATTTTACCAGAGATGAAAGAAACGAAAGAAGTGCGAAATAGGAGAAGAAATTTGTCCTATTTATATAATTGAAATCGACAGAAATTGAATTGAATTACCTGGAAAATTAAAGAAATTGAAGAGATGATGAGTTGAATTTGCATTGAGAAACTCATTTTTGAAGTGAATCGCCAATGTTGTTTATGTTCACGGGTGGATTTCTAGGGTTTGTATTGGAAAACCAATTTGGAAGTGAACATGCTTAGTTGTTCTCACGGTCCCAAATAATTCAATTATGTATTGAGAAACCAAATTGGATGTGAAATGACTGATTTTTTTTTAATGTTTTCAAGGCCTAAATTAATCAATTATTATTAGTACTAATGAATAATGAAAAATTATTTAAAAATGAACTAAATATCAACAACAAAGCAATACACGTGTTTTGGAAGAATGAGCTAGATATGAAATTATTTAAAAAACAAAATAAAAATAAAAACAATTATAGTAAGATTTTCTAAAGTAGAAACAATTAAAATAGTAATTTATCTATGTTGTATCCCAAAATTTGTCCTCTTTATTTTCTATTTCTATTTGGCTTATACTTTGTTAACATGCGCATACATGCATATCATTGAATTCATACTCATGGGATCAAGGTATTTTGGTCAATACGACAAAGCTCCCGTATTTGTTCAACGCATGTCAAGTTGCAGAAGATTTGGGTGTTTGCGTTGAATTTTAAGCAGTGTGAATAGGAAACAGTTTCTCAGCTGATTTGAGTTTGGAAATTCATATCTCCCGTCTAGAATGGTGTTTTTGGATTAATTCTTGAGGTTTTGAAATCTTCTCGACGTTCTCTTCAACTTTCGTGTTCGAACCGAAGGCTAAATCTCAAAGGAAGGTCTCTGAATATGCCATTCTTTCAGAAGTTATACAGTGAAAAAATGCAAAGGAAAAGTGGGTTGAATCATTATTTCATGTGCGCTAAAAAATCATAACTCTCAGATGGAATGTCGTATGTGCGCGGTTCTGATTGCCAAAATTTTGTATCGATGTCATCTTGATATCGTCTTTTGAGGCTAGAAGCTGTGAATTTTGAGTTTCTGAAGACATGTTTGTGCTGAATCGAAATTCATTTATATTAATGTTTGATACGGTAAATATCATAACTCGATCGATTTTTATCATATTGATGCATCCGCAAGTGCACGGAAATATCGAAGTAATATAAAAGATTGTTGAACCCACAGAGATCAATGTCAACCTACTGTAATCTATTGTCGCTTTGTAAAACTAAGGCTAATGAATGATTAATTTAGGGTAAACTAAGAACTAAAACTGAAATAAAATAGGATTAATAAAAAAATGTAACTCATACTGATGTAACTCGTTGGCTTATACTGATGTAAAAAATGTGTTTAGTAAAAAATATCAATTTAAAGACTGAACCTCATACTCTTGTTATTTTGAATAAAGTTGTATTCCTTAACCATGAGATTTTGCTCTCGCTCGCCCATTTTAATTAAGGAATGTGTTTTGAAAACTGAACAAGTTATAATTAATCCTAAAGCGCTCTCGCTGTGTTTAAGATTAATGCCTAGTTTCTACTATCTGGTTTGATCTCCACGCTCTCGCAGTACCGACTCGAACCTTAGTTAATTTCTCACTCTTGTGGCAAAATCGTGTTAAGTAACCTCTCACTCTCGTGACAAAGCTATTTAAATTAAGTTTAAAAACAAATACCGAAACTGAATTTTCAAACAAATAATTAAGTCAACTTATTACCGAGTCTCGTCGGAAATGACAGTCCTCACATACCGGACTCAAAACTATTTAGTCGGACATACTTAAAGAAACAAACATACAATTAGAATTATTAACCATGAACATAGCCATATTTAGGTTTGTAATGATAAAAAAATATTATAAGAACAAGAAACTAAAATAATGGCAAATAAATAAACCTGGAATAAAACTTGAATAAAATAAATCTTGAAACTTCAATAGAGCTTTGAAATAATGTCGGTGTTGTATCCAAAAATTTCCCCTCTCATTTCTCAAGAAATTTCTCACAAGATCTTCCATGAACCAACTTTGCAGCATTGATACATCAATTTAGGTTTGGAATTGGCACAAGGGTAAAATGGTTAAAATGCACACTGAAAAGTCAAACTTTGACTTTTGGATCAAAATCAAGTTTCAAGAATCACATTTCATAAAGACATGTTAGAATATGAAGTTGTTTCATCAAGAAAATCAAAAGTAAAAATTACTTTTGAAAAATCAAAATTCTAAACACTTAGAAATTTTTCTAAGTGTTAAGAAAATATGATAAGTTTAGAACTTCTGGCCAGATTTTCATCATGATGCGAATTAATTCAGGAAGAACTTCTGACACAAGAGTTGTAGATCTCAATGAGATCTAAAACATTGCAGAATAGAACTTCTCTTAGAAATGTTGAGATTTCAAGTTATGAATCCTTGAAGACACGTCCATAAAACTAAAACGTTTAGTAAATTTTGAGCATTTCCAAGTCATAATTTGGTTAGAACTTCTGGGCCATTTTTTACGTAGGTACAATCAGAGTTTGCAAAGATAATTCAAAGAGGGGTTACAAATCATATTACAAGCTTTCTGAAAAGTCTGAGAACTCCTCCAGATCATGCTGGAGCAAGAAGATTCAAAGATCAGAAGTTAGACATTTGTTCTTGATCCAAGTTACGTTCGTGTTGAACTTCTGATCCAGCTTCAAGCTTGGCTGCATAATCTCATGTTGCAGGTTTTCTGGCTTGTTAAATCTCATCATCATTTAATGCTTACACCAACTTTTGAGTCTTTATCCAAAGGATCTTCCCACGTGTGGCATGAAAGTACCACTGTCGTCCTTAGAAAGTAAACTTTTGTACAAAGTTTATGTTGGGCTCATACTTTACTTTTGTTTATGAGTGTACTTATCCACAAATCATGCCTACAAATTCATATTAGGCGCGGCTAAAGCTTCTAACCACTTTATTTTTTCCTTGAACCATACTTGTCTAAACTTGCTTCAAAAACAAGTCAACGAGCCATAACACATGATGGTTGTACTCTTGACTTCTTCAAACTTCTAAATCCTTTGCCTATAAATTAAACTTCATTTGCAACTGTTAGGGAGGTCGAAAAAGATTGGAAAAATCCTTGAAACCTTGCTGAAAATCCCCAAGAACCTGAAACTGCAAACATTAATACGAAACCTGCTAGTTTCTGATTTCGGCATCCAAACTCTAATTTTTCTTGTGTGTTTCTTGACCAAATCATCTATACAGTTTCTAAAATACACATAAAAGCTCTCTTAACTTCTGTTTTCAAACTGTAACACAGTCTTCACCACTCTCTATTTCAAAAACCATAACTTTGCACCTTGACTGCTCCAGAACTTTCCAACCATTCATAGCTCAAGTTAAGGCTTGCTTCAGCTTTCTGAGAACTTGAGGAAGTTGACCAGAATATCACAGCAATCTGAACCAGGCTCTAGTTTACAGAACAATTTCCAGCAGCAAGGTAAGGTTCTTCTGATTTTTATTTCATTACTTAGGCATTGTTGGGCTTGCATTTTCAAAGATGCAATGTAGATATCATGACTCTGATTCTATACATATTTATAGATTTTATTTATATGGCCTAAGTAGAGGGAATTTCATATCAGAACTTCTTGAGGAAATTAGGGTTCAGAATTAGGATTAGCAAAATTCATGCTTGCTTTTGGTTTACAGTTTTGATGCTTTATATTTTTGAAACCATGATGAAATTTACCATAATTGCTATGTTTGCATTTTTTGTGAGAAATAACTAAGTTGCATATACTCTGTTTGGCGCAAAGAAGGAGATGAAGTTCATCATCAGAACTTACTTTGTAACATATGTTTATGTTTTTGCTTCTATTCTAATACCATATGTATAGCCACTCCAGTGGTAGAGAGCGCGCGCATAAAACATTAGTGTTAAGGGTCCTGAGTTCTAGCCCCAGAAACAGCTTTTTATGTTTATTTCTTGACATCCCCCCCCCCCCCCCCCTCATTATTTGTCAAACATTAATCCTAGACCAGAACTTCTAGATAAACCCCCTTCAGTTATTTGTCAAAACAGTGATCCTGGACCAGAACTTCTAGATATTCCCATCCAACAACATTGATACCTTACTGACCCATTATCAGAACTTCTAGCTTGCCAGTAACACTAGAACTTCTAGGTTTCCAGCTACATTAGAACTTCTAGACTTTCTCAACAACCAGAACTTCTGAACTTCCAATAACATTCGAACTTCCAAACTTCCTCAGCGACCAGAACTTCCAACCTTCCAGTAACATTAGTACTTCTAGGTTTCCAATTGTGTCAGAACTTCTAGGATTTCTTTTGTTCCCAACAACCCAAGAACTTCTGGCTTTCCCTATTTTCTAACATTTTCTTTCTGGTTTGTAGTGCACCAGAGTCAAAACTTCTACTATTTCTCATATTTCTATTCTTTCAGCCATGCGCTGACTCTAACTTTTATTTTCTTATTTTCATTAATCAAAAACACCAAAAAAAGGACTTTATATTCACATGCTTTATTTTATTTATTTTTAAAACAAAAAGACTAAAAATATTTTCTTAAGCAAATCTATTCCTTCTCTTAACAAAAACAAATCAAGTCTATTTTATATTTCTTGTATATTATTTCAATATGGTTGTAATAGATAATTAGGACTTTAATTTCTTGCAATCCGAATTTGTAAATCCGTATACCCCATTCC